CAGCCTCCCCCGGCTCCTCCCCCAGCCTTTGTCCAGTTTCCTGGGCAGAGGTATCACCTGGCCCCAGCCCCTTCCTGGGTTCTCACATTACATGCTCAGGTATCTTCCCTCAAGGCCAGTCTCTCATCCCCCAATGCAGACCATCCCAGCCAACCTCCCCACTCAGCATTCAAAGATCACATTAAGAACAATCCCAGTTCGTCACATCTCTCCCCCTTCGAGACCGAACTGAGTGGGGTCACTTCAGCCAGTGACCTGGGGAAATTCGAACCTACCCCCGTTCCCGTGGATGCCCCAGCATCCCTCCCATTCCTTGGTGAGAATTACACCAGACCCTTCCAGTTTCACACCCCTCCCCACTTAGATTGGGTGTGCTCGATAACACTTGTAGTTCACATGTGGAAAGGCTTATGCGGCCCGTGCCCTATTCCCACCCCGATACCGCTGGGGTTCAAACTGGGCTGGGGTCTTCTCCCAGCATTTCAGTCTGGAGGTCTGTGATTCGGGCTCTCTTGGTTCAGAGCCCCTCTTTTGACTTTGGCCACCCTCTGGAAAGCTCCTCTCTGATGGGCAAGGGTCCTAAAACCGTTTTCCCCTTGTCCTGGGGCTTCCTCCCCCTCTGACAGGGGTCACAGGATCGGCAGTACTGCCAGACAGTAACAAAGACCCCAGGCCAGTAAAAGCTCCGTAGCAGCCTCTGCTGGGTACGCCAGGTTCCCTGGTGCCCTGAGAGGGGAATGTCATGGGCCCGGTACACCAGCTGGCGGCGATACTTCTGGGGTACCACCAGCTGCCTCCTGATCCCCCCTGACTCCATTTTCCCTGGGGGAGCCCATTCTCGGTACAGGAACCCCTTCTCCCACAGGAACCTTTTCCGGCCACCTCTCCCCATGGTCTGTACCGCACTGAGGTCGGCCAGCTCCCTTATCTTCCACAAGGAGGGATCTTTCTGTAACTTGGCTTGGAACTCAGCAGCTGGGACAGCGATGGCCACCTGCTCTCTCGCCGGCTGGGTCTGAAGCTGCAGCCTCCCTGAGCCTTGTCCCTGGGTGTTCCCTCCCCACCAAGTTAGGGTCCTCCACCTCGGGCAAGGCACCCTCCCTGTTGTCTGGGTGTAGTGCCCCTCGCCGGCTCTGGCTACGGGTCACGACCACGGCACCCTGGGAGTTGCTTGGCCAGTCCTTCAGGTCCCCCCCATTAACACCTAAGTGGGCAAATGGTGGTGCACCCCCACTTCCTTGGGGCCCTCCTTGGCCCCCCACTTCAGATGTACCCTCACCACGGGCACCTTGAATGGGGTCCCGCCCACCCCCGTCAGGGTCAGGAAGGTGTTGGGTATCACCTGATCTGGAGCTACCACCTCAGGCCGGGCCAGTGTCACCTCAGCGCCCGTGTCCCAGTATCCATTGACCTTCCTCCCATCCACCTCCAGGGGAACAAGGCACTCGCTCTGCAGGGACTGCCCGGCGCCCATCCTGTAAATGGAGAACCTTGAGTCCAGAGCATCCAGCCTGGGGCACTCCTCCCTCCTGAGCCATTGGGAAGCTGTCAGCCCCCCCTTGCCTGGGCCGTCTTCCCCTCATCCGGCTGGGTCTCTACCAAGTTGACCCTCTGTGGGTTCGGTCTGCTCAGTCTGTCCCTGAGCTTGGGGCACTGGGTCCGTATGTGGACTCTCCGGCCACAGTGATAGCAGCCCATGTCCCGTGGGTCCCCTCGAGCGGGTCGGTTGGTCCTGACACTGGGTGTTCCCCTTGGGAGGGGGTTCTCCAATTTTCCCATTTTGGAGGTCCCAGGGTCACTCTCTTTCTGCATCGTGGCGGGCCTATTGCTTTGGGACTCTTACCTGTTATCCCCTGCCCGACTGTTCACAAACTCGTCGGCCAGCTGGCCTGCGTGCTATGAGTTCTCTGGTTTTTGGTTCATCAACCATCCCCTCAGGTCGGATGGGCACTACTCATACAGGTGCTCCAGTACAAATAGGTCAAGCAGGTATTCTTTAGTTTGGGCCCCAGCTGTCCACTTGCGGGCATATCCCTGAGCGTGGTTGGCTAGTTGTAGGTATGTGACCTCACGGGTTTTACGCTGACTCTGGAACCTTTTCCGATACATCTCAGGAGGCAGCCGAAACTCACGGAGCAGGGCCTTTTTGAACAGTTCATAGTCCCCTGTCTCCGCCCCTTTCATTCGGCTGTACACCTCCCTGGCTGTGGAGTCCAGTAAGGGGGTGAGAAACTGCAGGGTCAACCCTGTGCAGCTCGCAGGCATTGTCATAGGACGTCAGGAAGGTATCCATGTCCTCCCCCTCCTTACGCTGGGCCCGAAAGCACTTATCAAAGCTCCTTGCAGCTTTGGGTCCCCCCTCACTCACCGCAGCCGGGGCCCCACTGCTTCTCAGGCGGGCCAGCTCCAGCTCATGCTGACGCTGTTTCTCCTCATGCTGACGCTGCTTTTCCCGTTCTTCCCGCTCCTGCTTCAGTTCTTGCTTCCTTAACTCAAGCTCTTCCTGTCTCATCAACCATTCACATTCCAGCCTCATCCGCTCCCGGGATGGGGAGCTCCACCGGGACGATCCCCTGCTGGCCGCCGGGGTCGGGGTGCCCTCGGTACTCGCTGGGCTTCCCCCAACCCCTCCCCTAGGCATAGGTAGGAAGGGTCTCGGGATGTCCTCGGCAGCAGTCTGACCCCTCCCAGACAGGTCAGGCCCCAGGGCCCACGCTGCATCCGCCGGGCGGCTTTCCTCAGGGACAGGGCTCGGTTCGTCCAAGCGATCCCTCTCCTCCAGCTGGGCAATTAGCTGTTCTTTGGTGGACCTCCCAATACGCAGCCCCCTCTGCCTGCACAGCTCCACCAGGTCGCTCTTGTCATTGTTTTTGAATCACTGCAGGAATGTGGATATGCCCTTTCAAAGCTCCGTTTCTGACAGCCAGTGCTTATCTGCTCCGGGACAAAGCAACCATTACTCTGGAATGCTGTGAGAGAGAGAGAGGCGGGGGGAGCGGGGTCTGAACTTACAAGCCAGCCTGCTGACATGCTCTCAGCCCCCCCAAAACCCACTCTCTCTCCCCCCACATACACACATCACACTCCCTGTCACACTCACCCCACCCCACCCCCATTTGAAAAGCATGTTGCAGTCACTTGCATGCTGGGACAGCTGCCCATAATGCACCACTCCCAATGTCACAGCAAGTGCCACAAATGTGGCCCCGCCAGTGCGCAAGAAGCTGTCAGTGTGGACAGACTCTGGCGCTTTCCCTACTGCGCTCTCCAAAGGCAGGTTTAACTCACAGCGCTCCACATCTGCACGTGTAGCCAAGCCCTTAGGTATTACAGCTGCACCACCTTAGATGACGACTTACAGCAAGACTCATTAACAACCCCAGGACACTGACATCTCTGGCCATTATGTTAGCAACCAACCACTCAGTATGGGCATCTCTTACGTTTTACTGTATAGAGGATTAAAAAGGTTAGTTGTGACCAGATACTTCACACAGGTTAGTTTTAACAAGAGGGAAGGAAAGTGGCCAGAATAGGGAAATAACAGATAAGTTAACAGATAAAGAATATTTAGCTAAGTTAGATCTATGCAGCTCGGCAGGGCCTGATGAAATACACCCTAGGGTACTTAAGAAACTCGCTGAAGCAATCTCTGAACCATTGGCAATGATCTTCCAGAACTCATGGAGAATGGGTGAGGTTCATAACAAGGGCAAACTTCAAAAAAAGGTCAAAAGGAGCTCTTAGGTAAGTACTGACCAGAGAACCTAACTTCAATACCCAGAAAGATACTGGAACAAATGATTAAACTATCAATTTATTCAAACCTAGAGGATAATAGGTGATAGGAACAAATCATGACAAACAAACATAATTTCCTTCTTTTATTGGGTACCCAGTGTAGTGGATGTGGGGAAGAGGTGGACGTGATGTATCTTGAATTTAGTCAGTCTTTTGACACAGTCCCACATGACATTTTCCTACTCAAGCTAAGGAAATATGGACTAGATGAAACTACCAGAAGGTGGGTGCAAAGCTAGTTGGAAGTCGTTACTCGCAGGGGAGTTATGGGGACTCACTGGCTTGGCAGCAGCACTGCAGAAAAGGGTGTGTGGTTTCTGGTGGACCACAAATGGAATGTGAACCTACAGTGTGATGGTGTTGAAAAAAGGCAAATGTCATTCTGGGATGTATTGACAGGAGTGGGGTGGGTCAAGAGATGGGAGGTGACTGTTCTACTCTACTCGGTGCAGGAGAACCGTGTCCAGGTTCGGGTCCTGCGCTTCAAGAAAGATGAGGACAAATTGTACGGAGTCCAGAGGAGAGCAACAGAAATGATCAGAGGTTTAGAAAACATGACCTGTGAGGAAAGGTTGAAAGAACTGGGCATGTTTTGTCCAGAGAAGAGACAGCTTAGGGGGGACATGATAACAATCTGCAAATATGCAAAAGGTTGTTATAAACAGGAGTGTGATCAATTGGTGCCCATATCCACCACGGGTAGGAGAAGAAGGAATTGGCAGCAAGGGAGATTTAGGTTAGATATTTTTATAAAAACTTTCTAACTCTAAGGATGGTTCAGCACAGGAACAGGTGACCTAGGGAGGCTGTGGAATCCCTGTTATTGTGGGGTTTAAGAACAGGTTGGACAAACACCTGCCAGGGATGGTCAGGTGAACTTGGTCCTGCCTCAGTGCATGGGGATGGATTGTTTGATCTCCTGAGGTCCCTGCAACTCCACATTCCAGTGATTGTGTCAAGTGATGTTAGATCCTCTGCACTGTGGTTAATTTCCCTCATAGGTACTCGGCAAGGTAAATGATTATGGGGTTGGGAGAAGTGGTAGGGCAGAAGGAAGGAGAGCAGGGCATGCTGGGAAGACAGTGCTTTCCTATGTGCAGTACTGTCTGTTGATATGATATAATGCAACAGGACATGAGTCAACTTGGCTTCCTGTCTAATTTCCCCAAGATAAGGAGGCTGCAAAGCTCAAAATCCTCAGAATTCGACCTGCCCTGATAGTATCTGAGCCACCATGGGAACCCGAGGTGATGTGTATCCATTGGGTGAGTGGAACAAAGTCCATGGGATGAACTCGGGTGGGGCTAGGAGAGTCCAGAGGGGCCCACGGGTCTGTCTGCACTGGGGCTGAAAGGTGAATGTCCCAGCTCGAGAAGACATAGTCGCGCTAGCTCTCATCTAGCTAGAAATAGAAGTGTCACCATAGGGGTGGGAGGGCCTGGCCGGCCTGAGTGCGTATCTGTGATCTTGGATGGGATCGTAGTTGGGGCAGGGAGTCTCTCCCGTTATTGGTGTCACGTGCAATTTCCTCTGCTCCCTCCAGTGCTCACGTTGCACCAACGGAGACTCCTTCCAGACTCACTGAAACACCCTTAGATTTACTGCGCCAGATTCCCGGGGCTGGCTGAGATGAGCTCATCTGAGATGGGTTCACTAGGAGACCAGAGCATGGTGGGGTCCCAGATGGCTTTCCACCACTTTCACAGCTACTGAATCCCAGGGGATAACTGCGGATCAGTCTGGTCCCTGGAAGCAGAGCAGCCCAAAACCTTCCCTGATTCATCCTCAACTGTCTGTAGCCCTAAGGGACCATTCCAGCAGCTGGCAATAGCCAGAGTGGAGGAGTACATTGGCCAGACCGCTCACCTCTGGGAATGCCCACTGTGCCTGGGGCTGTAACATAGAGCCAGTACACCAGGGGAATGTCCAGGTAGCTGGTTGAGCCAGATTTCTGTGGGGGCACAAAGCTGGGGTTCCGAAATATCACTACAGTAATAATCGTTCTTAATGAAAGAATTGACTTCATTGGATTTACACCAGAATCACAGTGGGGTAAATTAGCAAAATTTTCTCCATAGACAGAGGCCAGGAGACAGATCTCCCTCTCGCTCTCTTTCTCTGTTGCTTATTTCTGTGTATAACATTTTTAAAACAGGTATTTAGTTTTTATTTCTTTCAAGTATTTCTCCTCCTCGTCCTGCTCCCCTCCCTACCACCAGGCAGGGCCGGCTTTAGGAAGTGCGGGGCCCAATTCCAACATTTTCGGCGAGGCCCCGGCAGGGACGACTAAAAAAAAAAATGTAGAAAAACCCCTTTCATTTCTTCCGTGTATTATTATCTAACCCATAACTATATAAATAATAACAAACTTATATATTACGTACATTGCTGGCTGGAGGCAGGGCAGGGGCTGATTGGAGGTAGAGTCAGGCTGGAGGCAGGGCAAGGGGTGCGGGGCTGGCTGGAGACAGGGGCTGGCTGCGGCCAGGGCAGGGGTGCAGGGCTGGTGCGGGCAGGGGTGCAGCAGGGACTGGCTGCGAGCAGGGGGTGCGGGACTGGCTGGAGACAGGGGCTGGCTGCAGGCAGGGCAGGGTTGCGGGGCTGGAGGCAGGGCAGGGGGTGCAGCAGGGGCTGGCTACGGGCAGGGGGTGCGGGACTGGTGCGGGCAGGAGTGTGTGCAGCAGGGGCTGGCTACGGGCAGGGGGTGCGGGAC